CTCTCTGAGCTTTGCAGCGGGTGCTGGGACTCAGAGAGGCAGAGCCCCTGGGGACAGGACTGAGAGCCGCCATAACTGCTCTCTCCGGCCCACCCTGTTGATCCTGTGCGACCCGCCCTGCCCAAGCCCTGCACACAGGCATTTGCCGGATAGCCCCAGGCAAAGGCTAGATTAGCACCTCCCTAGAGGACAGAAGTTCTCTCACTGCTGACACAGCTGATTCTCATAGCCACTTGGCCTGGAGGTCAAACCCTCCCTGGAATTAGCTACAACAATCAAGATTTAACTATAAGACTGCGAACAAAGACCACTAGGGGGTGCACCAAGGAAGCATAACAAAATGCGGAGACAAAGAAACAGGACAAAATTGTCAATGGAAGATATAGAGTTCAGAACCACACTTTTTTTTTTTTTTTTTTTTTTTTCTTTGAAAGGATAAACAAGATTGATGAATCTTTTTTTTTTTCTTTTTTTTTTTTTAATTAAATCTTTATTGTTCAGATTATTACATTTGTTCCTCTTTTTTTCCCTCCATAACTCCCCTCCTCCCAGTTCCCGCCCCACCCTCCGCCCTCACTCCCCACCCACTGTCCTCATCCATAGGTGCACAATTTTTGTCCAGTCTCTTCCCGCATCTCCCACACCCCTTTCCCCCCCAGGAATAGTCAGTCCATTCCCTTTCTATGTCCCTGATTCTATTATAATCAACAGTTCATTCTGTTCATCAGATTATTTATTCACTTGATTCTTAGATTCACTTGTTGATAGACGCATATTTGTTGTTCATAATTTGTATCTTTACCTTTTTCTTCCTCTTCCTCTTCTTAAAGGATACCTTTCAGCATTTCATATAATCCTGGTTTGGTGGTGATGAACTCCTTTAGCTTTTCCTTATCTGTGAAGCTCTTTATCTGACCTTCAATTCTGAATGATAGCTTTGCTGGATAAAGTAATCTTGGTTGTAGGTTCTTGGTATTCATCACTTTGAATATTTCTTGCCACTCCCTTCTGGCCTGCAAAGTTTCTGTTGAGAAATCAGCTGACAGTCGTATGGGTATTCCCTTGTAGGTAACTGAGTTTCTTTCTCTTGCTGTTTTTAAGATTCTCTCTTTATCTTTTGCTCTTGGCATTTTAATGATGATGTGTCTTGGTGTGGTCCTCTTTGGATTCCTTTTGTTTGGGGTTCTCCGCGCTTCTTGGACCTGTAAGTCCATTTCTTTCACCAGGTGGGGGAAGTTTTCTGTCATTATTTCTTCAAATAGGTTTTCAATATCTTGGTCTCTCTCATCTTCTGGCACCCCTATAATTCTGATGTTGGTACGCTTGAAGCTGTCCCAGAGGCTCCTTACACTTTCCTCGCATTTTTGGATTCTTTTTTCATTTTGCTTTTCCGGTTGGGTGTTTTTTGCTTCCTCGCATTTCAAATCATTGACTTGATTCTTGCGCTCCTCTGGTCTGCTGTCGGGAGTCTGTATAATATTTGTTATTTCAGTCCGTGTATGCTTAATTTCTAGTTGGTTCCCCAATATAAGATCGAGGGTCTCATTAGATTTCTTGAGGATCTCACTACATTTATCGGCGGCTTCTAGACAGTTCTTAAGAGACCTTAAAAGTGTGGTTCTGAACTCTATATCTTCCATTGACAATTTTGTCCTGTTTCTTTGTCTCCGCATTTTGTTATGCTTCTTTGGTGCACCTCCTAGTGGTCTTTGTTTGCAGTCTTATAGTTAAATCTTGATTGTTGTAGCTAATTCCAGGGAGGGTTTGACCTCTAGGCCAAGTGGCTATGAGAATCAGCTGTGTCAGTAGTGAGAGAACTTCTGTCCTCTAGGGAGGTGCTAATCTAGCCTTTGCCTGAGGCTATCCGGCAAATGCCTGTGTGCAGGGCTTGGGCGGGGCGGGTAGAACAGGATCAACAGGGTGGGCCGGAGAGAGCAGTTATGGCGGCTCTCAGTCCTGTCCCCAGGGGCTCTGCCTCTCTGAGTCCCAGCACCCGCTGCAAAGCTCAGAGAGAAAGCTGCACTCGCTCTGACCGAAGCCAGACAGTCCCGCTTCTCCCGTTTGAGTCTGGGTCCCTAAAGACTCGCCCGGATCTGGAGCTCAGAGTCTGTGACTCCCTCCCGATTGAAAACGCCAACCGCGCCCTCCGCCGCCAGCCCGCTCTGCGCACTCCGCACCTCAGAATTTGACTTCAGCACTGCGCCTCCTCTGAGTGTCCGTATGCGTTTCTCTTTCCTCCTAGTTGTAGGACTTCCACTCAGCCAGCGTTCCTGTGCAGAACCACACTTTTAAGGTCTCTCAAGAACTGTTTAGAAGCCGCCGATAAACTTAATGAGATCTACAAGAAAACTAATGAGACCCTCGATCTTATATTGGGGAATCAACTAGAAATTAAGCATACACGGACTGAAATAACGAATATTATACAGACTCCCGACAGCAGACCAGAGGAGCGCAAGAATCAAGTCAATGATTTGAAATGCGAGGAAGCAAAAAACACCCAACCGGAAAAGCAAAATGAAAAAAGAATCCAAAAATGCGAGGAAAGTGTAAGGAGCCTCTGGGACAGCTTCAAGCGTACCAACATCAGAATTATAGGGGTGCCAGAAGATGAGAGAGAGCAAGATATTGAAAACCTATTTGAAGAAATAATGACAGAAAACTTCCCCCACCTGGTGAAAGAAATGGACTTACAGGTCCAAGAAGCACGGAGAACCCCAAACAAAAGGAATCCAAAGAGGACCACACCAAGACACATCATCATTAAAATGCCAAGAGCAAAAGACAAAGAGAGAATCTTAAAAGCAGCAAGAGAAAGAAACCCAGTTACCTACAAGGGAATACCCATACGACTGTCAGCTGATTTCTCAACAGAAACTTTGCAGGCCAGAAGGGAGTGGCAAGAAATATTCAAAGTGATGAATACCAAGAACCTACAACCAAGATTACTTTATCCAGCAAAGCTATCATTCAGAATTGAAGGTCAGATAAAGAGCTTCACAGATAAGGAAAAGCTAAAGGAGTTCATCACCACCAAACCAGGATTATATGAAATGCTGAAAGGTATCCTTTAAGAAGAGGAAGAGGAAGAAAAAGGTAAAGATACAAATTATGAACAACAAATATGCATCTATCAACAAGTGAATCTAAGAATCAAGTGAATAAATAATCTGATGAACAGAATGAACTGTTGATTATAATAGAATCAGGGACATAGAAAGGGAATGGACTGACTATTCCTGGGGGGGAAAGGGGTGTGGGAGATGCGGGAAGAGACTGGACAAAAATCGTGCACCTATAGATGAGGACAGTGGGTAGGGAGTGAGGGCAGAGGGTGGGGCAGGAACTGGGAGGAGGGGAGTTATGGGGGGGAAAAAAAAGAGGAACAAATATAATAATCTGAACAATAAAGATTTAATAAAAAAATAAATAAAATAAAAAAAAAAGACGCTGCAAAATAAGGCTGTGTTGCCCCAGCTGTCTATCAAATGTGCAAAAGTGACTTTTTAACTTTTGTCTGTCATTTTTTATCTTTTAGATTTTACTTTAGTTTCTTGTCTTTATTATATTTTCTTTATATTTTTAGCAACTTTAAGTTTATTTTATTTTACTGTATTTCATGACTTTTCAAAAGCTTCCTTAAGTTCCTTTGAAATAACATGTCATAAAAATAAAATATATTTTGCAAGTTGGCTCAAAATGTTTTAGTTAAAATAAAATTGAAAATAAAGAAATGTATGTATAAGTAAACAAGAAACTTTAAAACGAACACTGGTCAGTTTGTACTGCCTTGAGTATTTCATTGTTTTATTTTTATTAGATATTTTCATATGTTTCTTTTTCAACTTTGTAAGCTTTAGAAGAATTATTTGACTTTTTTGTTTTTGGCAGAAAAAGGCCAACGAGCAATAAATATAATTGTTCATTTTGAACTTTATGCTCTGTTTTCTGAAAGATAAGAGTGTATTTACTACAGGGTGAAGTTGAATAAGATCCAAAATAATTTCTTTATTAAAGGTACGCCCTTTTAAAATTAAAATTTATTTTGATTTCATTATTGACTTTGTTTAAGCAAGTAGAATGAAATTAATGCCTTCCTGTGTCTCTCTATAATAAAAAATGATGTATTAAAAAAAAAATAAAAAAAATAAAAAATAAAAAAAAATAAAAAAATAAAAATAAAAATAAACCTTCTCTAATTAGCTTTTTTGGGGGACTCTGTTCCCTGGGGAAATCCTGAAAGTCTGGACCACAGGCTGAGAGGAGTGTTGATTTAACTGCATGATTTGAAGTGTATTGGTACGTGGCCAAAGCAAACTAAACAGAACTTGTGGTGGGCCTAGCCACTTTAAAAAAAGAAATTGGCAAGAGACCATTTCATAGAATGGCTGTGAGACATAATTTTTTTTAAATATTTACAACATCCTTAAGATATAAATAGTCCAAATGATAAATATTGGTCACAATTTCAGCCAGCCCAACCTTTGACCTCCTTAACACTCTTAAAAACTTGGGTCAAGAAAAGGCAATTCCTCTCTTGTTGTGCTTGCTGGACACCCAGTGGGTCTCCAGGTGGTCAACAGGTTTTCTTTCTTCTCCATCTCTGGTACTTTCAGAAAAGTGAGAAGCTGAGAGAAATAGGAGCTTTTGACCTATGGCCTGTGGTTTTATAGAGCCATTGATCAAGTTTTCCATTGATCCAAGGACTGTGCTAGGTGAAATAAGAGACTTGTGAGGACTCAATGAAACCTCAGATGTAGAAGTAAGGAATGCCCAATGTGACTGTGAGCCTCTTTCTTCCCACAGAAGGGCTCCTGGGAGCACCAACATTAATGAGATGCACTCAATCCAGGGGCCCTATTTGAAGTGATTTTCAGGTCCAGGCCTCCACTGCCTCCGCTCCCTGGCACTGCTGGAGAACCAGTGATTCCCAGACTCTCGTTATATGTGTCTCCCTCACGCAGCAGTGGCTGTACTGACGTGCTCCTCTCTCCACCTAGGGTACGACTTCTGCCAGGTCCTGCAGTGGTTCGCTGAGCGGGTCGACAGGATCATCTTGCTCTTTGACGCTCACAAACTGGACATTTCGGACGAGTTTTCCGAGGCCATCAAGGCCTTCCGGGGCCAGGACGACAAGATCCGCGTGGTGCTGAACAAGGCCGACCAAGTGGACACGCAGCAGCTGATGCGTGTCTACGGGGCCCTCATGTGGTCCCTGGGCAAAGTCATCAACACGCCCGAGGTGCTGCGTGTCTACATCGGCTCCTTCTGGGCACAGCCCCTGCAGAACACTGACAACCGCCGGCTCTTCGAGGCCGAGGCCCAGGACCTCTTCAGAGATATCCAGAGCCTCCCCCAGAAGGCAGCGGTGCGCAAGCTCAACGACCTCATCAAGCGAGCGAGGCTGGCCAAGGTAAGCAGCACAGTCCCCGCACCAGCCTCAGGCAGGGGACTCTTCCTGCTCTCTGAGAGAAAGGGGGGTGCCCCATCCCAGGAGACTTAGGGAATGAACTTGTCAGAGGTTAGAAGAGACCCTTGAGATTGGTGCCCTGTTTGAATTCTGGCTCCTAGCTCTCTAACCTTGGGCAAATGGCTTAACCTCTCCAAACTGTTTTCTGATCTGTAAAACGGAGCGAAGAAGAGCACGTCACAGGTGTTAGTGACCTGTTGGCATGTGGTATTTCTCTTCTCCAGTGGAAACAGCTGGACTTAACCGTCAGGGTACATGATACCCAACATTATTTTCTAATCAAGGCTGGTAAATCACGTCATAGTCTTTGCAGATTTCAATATTTTTTTTCGAAATACTTTTAAATGCACATGGGATATTTAATTTACCTGTCATTGTTGAGAGCCTAGTGACTCAAGATGCAGCTGTATTCGGTATATAAAGAAATAAAAAGCTGAGCCCAGCCGGTGTGGCTCAGTTGGTTGGGCATCATCCTGTGCACCAGGAGGCTGTCAGTTCAATTCCTGGTCAAGGTTCAATCCCCTGTAGGCAGCCGGTCGATGTTTCTCTCTCATCAATGTTTATATATCTCTCTCTCCCTCTCCCCTTTTCTCTCTGAAATCAATAAAAACATTTAAAAAAAGAAATAAAGAGCCGAGAGCTCGCTGGGAAGTGCCAAGCACGTGGGACTTTTTGCCACCTTTGAGCATTTGCCGCCCTCTGCATGGATCAGTGTGGCCTGGGTCGAGAGAGGCACAAAATACTGCGATGGACAGACACCAGGAATAACGAAGGCCGGTGTAGATGGGAGCAGGGAGCAGTCAACTTGCTGAGTTTACTTCTAGGAAAAAAGCTTGTCTTCCTTTTTTCTTCCCAAGAATAGTGCTGGCTTGTTCCTTCTTATAAAGAAACATGTTTAAAGTACAGCTGATCCAGCCCGAGCTTCTCAGTGTCAGTGTGCTCCGGGGGCAGCGCCAAGCTGTGCAGGGGCCGGGAAACAGTCCCGGGCGGGTAAGAAGGAGAGCTCGGCACGGTGGCCTGCGGTGCCATCCTCTTTACACCATCTGCAGTTGTATGGCCATTTGTGAACTTGTTGCTTAAATGGACACGGAGTCACCTGAGTTTTTCTTTTTGCTGTATTTATGTTTCTTAAAAATACTCTTAGATTTTGGTACATTCATCTTTATTTCTCTTTATCTAGTCTTCCTTTTGCAAGTCAGCCCTTGCAGAGGGCCTGCCGTGTTTCGGAAGCATGGCGGTCTGCATTGAATGTGTTATTTTGTCTGATCCAATCAGTAATTGCAGTTAGGCACTATCTTCATTTCTCCTGCTAAAGGGAGCTAAAGCTCAGAGAGGTGAAGCCACTTGTCCAAGGCTTCGTAGCCTGTAAGTTGCAAAATATAGATTCCAGCCCCAGTCAGTCCTACTCCTTGGCCTGCAAAGTGTTCACCTGAAATCCAGTGTGGACAGCATTCATTGCTCCTCAGTAAGTGTCCTTGCTTTCTGCGTTGATCTGCCATTGTTTATTCTATAAAATTCTCCACCCACAGAAACCTACAAAAGTTCAGAGGTTTATCGAGCTGACATTTTGAAAGCCTGCAAAGGGTATTCAGATGTCACCTCGGAGGTGTCAGATCTGAGTTAGGGTATGGAATGTGTCTATTTATAGAACACCATAATGAGGCAGAATTCATGAGCATCCAAAAATAAACAAGTGTGTTACTGTCCTGCCAGTTCTGTGGAGATCAAACTCGAGGTGTCACGAAGATGGCATTTGAATACTATGAAACATGGCACTCTGACCAAAGAACTCTTGAAACTTAATGATTTCCTGGCTTTTTCTACTTATGTATTTTTTTCACAGCTCTGTTTCACATACCAGGAAACCTTTGGAGAGGGTTTTGGTTAGCCTCAGAGATCGCACATGTCATGATATCAGTAGGCATCATTCTCTGGAGAGTGTCCACAATCTAAGATGCAGTTGAGCTTTGTCTCATGATTCTTTAAAATAAGCTACTTGGGGAAAGACCCAGAAAGCATTTAGAAAATATAATTGAGTTGTATTCAGCTATGATTCAAATAGCCACATTAAAAAATGAGGCTCTTACAAACCTGAGGTGATAGTGTTTTATGGGGTAAATGCACAAAAGTAAAAATCGAGGCCAGTTCACGAGCAGACCTCACCCTTTATAACACATTGCCCCAGAATAGGAAAGGTTCCTGCCCACTTGGAGATCTTTGCTCAACAAAACAATGAGTCAACATTTGAGGAAGGAACAACTAAAAATGAGAAGGAAAAGGAGAGGCCAGTGATTTTCGGGGTTCACTATAGTTCTGCAGAATTTAGTTTCATCTTCAAAGCATGTTCTCTTCTTGGTCACGTGTAATGTGCAGAGCCCAGCTTTCTGGTTCGTCTGTCAGTTCCTTTTGTGGAGAAGTTAGACATTTTGAACTCACCAAAGGGACCCAGGTTAAGGTGTATGAGTCATTCCATAGTAGGTGATGATGGTCCGCCATTGGGGCTTTTAAAAATAGCTCAGTCGTCAGCCTCAAGCTGCTGTGGAGGTATGTGTCAGTGCTTGAACCCGTATAGGGAAGCCTGTCTTTTTGAAGGTTGACCTCAAATGGCTGGGTGGTCCCCTCAAGTCCCCTTTAAGCTGTTAAGAATCACGTGACCATCAGTGCCAGCTTTGATTTCAACAGAACAGCCAACCTCCTGCTCAAATGGGAACCTGTCAGCTGCTTTTCTCTGCCTCTTGCAGTCTCACACTTGATGACCCCAGGGGTTCATCTTTGGGTGTTTGTGAACAGAATTTCTTATATCATCATAAGCCCCTTTAAAAATGTGCTGATCCCCTGATGTTAAATGCTCTTTGCAAGGTTCCAGCTGGGCCTACAAAGGCGCAGGTCTCCACCAGGTCGTGTCAAGCTTGCAGATGAGGTTGCACAGTGTAGAATCACGTTTTTCCAGACTAACTTCCCTCAAACTGCTTCTGGTATCCAAATTCCATGAGCACTTCCATTCCTACTGACCATGAGCACTGGACGCTTCCAGTCTCGCTGCTGGGGGTTGCCCTTCCAGCCCAGGTGGGTGTATCCGGTATCAGTCTGAGTACATGCTTCTCAGTCTTGGGTGTATATGAACACTTGCCACTGGGCACAATTAACAAGGTTGCGGCAGAGTCTCTTTGTGAACTATCAATTCATGTTCATTTTAAGGGAGGACATCTTTCTGCTGATTGAGTTATTAGCCCAGAGAAAAAGTGGCATTTGGGCTTTTCCAGTTTTATACAATGAAATAAATGGGTGAATTGGACAAGCTAAGACTGTTCAAAAGCCCCCAGGGTTCAATGTCCTTCACTTGTGAATAAGGCACTTGGGACCCGAATTCACCATATTACTATTTAAATATGGAGAGTTTATTGATTATTCAATAAGAACTAAATAGCCACAAGCCTTCTCTGGCATTGCTACCTCCAGCTGTTGGACTTTGACCATTAATCAATAACAAGTAACTTTTACTCCTCTTTCTAATGGACAGAGTACCTTCAAGTCTTAATAACAACCCTCCCTTGTGAGGTAAGGGTTGTAATTTCCAAATTGCAAATGAGCAAACAGAGGCTGGGGATTAGCCATCTCTCCTGGAGCTGCTCAGGGAGCGGCAGTGGTGGCAGGGCCTGACCCCGCCTTCCAGTGCTTGGTCTGCCCTGCCTCCCTCTCCCCTCCCTCGGCCCCCTTCCCATTCCCATATATCTTCTTCTTAGTGAGTTTTCTCTCATTATGAAGAACAAAAGGTGTCAGACTGTTTCCAGCTCCTTCCATGGGGACCACCACCTGGTCTGGCCCTCCATCTGCCATTTATTTGGAGACACACCTTTGACACATAAGGGCTTTTACTGATGTTGACCAGGGCTTTCAGCCATCCCAGCTGTGCCCTCTGTTTACCAAGAGGCCTTAGAAATGTACAGGGTGCCATCCTGCCAGTAGATTGCAGTCTTTACCCACATTGTGTCCATAGTGTTGTGTGTCATATCTGTTTCTTGTGTGTCGAAGGGAAGAGTAAATGACCTTCCAAATGAGTTAGGAATAATCAGAAGCCAAACCTCAAAGTTTCCCACACTGTTGTTCTATAGGACCCAATTCATTTTGAATTCCAGATCTTCAACAGCTTCAGTAACTTTTTTAATTCATACTCATAGAAAGCAATTCTATAAGAATTCTATAAGAATGAGGCAGTTGAATGGTGGTGTCAACTCTCCATCCCCTAACTAGCTGGGTGACCTTGAGTAAAGTCATATGAATTTCCTGGAACCAGGTGTTCACTTCCATATAGGAGGTCCCTTCCAGATTTAATACTCCATGATTCTAAGGATTATAATTTACCTCATAACTTGATAAGCTCCTTAGAGATGGGGCCCATTCATGGAATCTGACCCTGGTTATTGTCTCAGGATACCCAGGAAAGGGCAGGGGGGCCGGGGGGGGGGGGGGTGGTCATTCAGAGATAGCACAATAGGAAATTTCCAGAAAACAGGCCAGTGGAACTTCCTGGAAGTGGAGGTTGAGGCTGAGAGTATCCTGCAGCATGAGTTGGCCACCTGAGGGTCATGACTCAGGTAGCACCAGGCAGGTGGGAGGAGGAGGGAGTTGAGGACTGGCACAGAAACTGCCCCAGTTATCTCAGAACCCTGAGGCCTGGTGTCTGAAGGTGGCCCATTATTCAGCAGCCTCAGTCATCAGCCATTGAACAGCATGAGGGCTGAGCTCAGGGAGCAGGTGCCAGGCATTGGGTGATAGGTGCATATCACCCACGGTTCAGCCCAGGTAGAGCAGGCCCCCGGGTACCAGGAAGTGCTAAGGAACAGAGTGCCAACCCTAGAGGGCCAGGGGCTGGGTGGGGAGTCAGCCTTCCCTGAGCAGGGGCCTGGAAGCTCTGAGGTACCTCAATAGTAGATGGTGAGAGGGTCTTAGGGAGCCCTCCAAGTCCTTCAGGGCTACACAGGGCCCTCCCCTGCTCCATCCAAACTGAGTCAGGCATCACTACCCAAGACAAGGAAATTACTAGTCTTACCACTTATGCATCATACCCTCAGGAATGCAGTTAAAGCCCATCGTTCTAAATTAAAGATTCCAAACTTTGGGTTTCTCTATCTCAAAGAATTGTATAAATATTATAAGTAGTGTTAATTTGAAAAATAACTAAATAAACAAGTTTACTAGTGGCAGAAAGTTTAGCATCATCTCTCCCAACCTATAGTTGTAGCAGTAGCCAGACAGCACAATGGGTGCTTATGTAAAAATGGCCTTCATAGGGATGGAGAAGTTGACATTGTCTGGTTTGAGCATGCCAGCGTTTTCACTGTGCAGTTATTTTAGTGTTTGGGTCTTAGCTGAGTGGTTTTGGCTGTGCCCAGTGTGTGTCCATGCACAGAGGCCCTCCGTTGAACCATGGGACGTATCTACTTACTTTATTTAATTTCCATTCTTCCACAAGATTACAGAAGAAGTCTGTTTTCTTTAATAGGATTTTCCATAGCTACATAGTCATTTTTTGTTTTGTAATCACCGCTCTGTTTTTCATCCTTTCTTATTTTAGTTATTTTCTTGACTTCTAAATTACTCTGTAGAATTCTAGATACACAAAGAGAACTTTTCTAAAGAACATTTCTTAATGTCCTGAAGTTGGAACTCAGTGGAAAAGTGCCAAAGTTAAGGAAGGTGGTGCCCCAGCCAAGTAGGATTCACCTCCCAGGTACTAGTCATGTCTGCAACCCCCGTGTGGTCAGAGTTTCTGGGCTCCCCCCCGTGTACTGGGGGTCCCTCTCTCAGACCAAGCTTCTGCTGTCCAGCCTGGGCCCAGGCAGCTGGTCCTGTGCAGAATTGACCTGTGGAGATCTCGGGGTCTACACTGTTCTCAGGAAGGTTATGGGAATCCTCATCTCACTGCTCACTGGGCACACGTTTCTGTGAAGATCAGCCATTTACTCAGCTTCAGTTTCGTTTCCTGGTGCTCTTGGGCACTGGCCCTAGTGAAACTATTTTTTTCTCCTTTATTATTGAGGGTATTACAGATGTCCCCTTTACCCAGATATGCCCCACCCCAGACCTTCGCCACCCTATTGTCTGTGCCCGTGGGTTATGCATATATGCATATAAGTTCTTTTATTAATCTCTTCTTGCCCTCCCCTCTCCCCTTCCCTCTGAAATTCTCCAGTCTGTTCCATGTTTCCATACCTCTGGATCTATTTTATTGATCAGGTGATTTTGTTCATTAGATTCTTTGTTTATTTTGATTTTTAGATTCAATTGTTGATAGATATGTATTTATTGACATTTTATTATTCTTTTTTTTTTTTTTTCTTTTTTTAAAGAAGACACTTTAACATTTCATGTAATACTGGTTTGGTGGTATGAACTCCTTTAGCTTTTTCTTGTCTGTGAAACTCTTTATATGACCTTCAATTCTAAATGATAGTTTTGCTGGGTAGAGTAATCTTGGTTTTAGGTCCTTGCTTTTCATCACTTTGAATATTTCTTGCCACTTCCTTCTGGCCTGCAAAGTTTCTGTTGAAAAATCAGCTGACAGTTGTATGGGCAACTTGTAGGTAACTAACTGCTTTTCTCTTGATGCTTTTAAGATTCTCTCTTAGTTTTTTACCTTTGGCATTTTAATGATGATGTATCTTGGTGTGGGCCTTTTGGGTTCCTCTTGTTTGGGACTCTGCACTTCCTAGACTTGTAAGTCTATTTCTTTCACCAGGTAAGGGAAGCTTTCTGTCATTACTTTTTCAAATAGGTTTTCAATTTCTTGCTCCCTCTCTTTTCCTTCTGGTACCCCTGTGATACAAATGTTGGTATACTTGAAATTGTCCCAGAGGCTCCTTACACTATCTTCATATTCTTGGATTCTTTTTTCTTTTTGCTGTGCTGATTGGGTGTTTTTTGCTTCCTCATATTCCAAATCACTGATTTGATTCTTGGCATCCTCTACTCTATTGTTGCTTCCCTGTAAATTATTCTTCATTTCAGTTAATGTATCCTTCATTTCTGACTGGTCCTTTTTCATGCCGTTGATGTTCTCTATAAGTTCCTTGAAGTTGTCACTAAGTACCTTGAAGATCTCATTAAGTTCCTTGAGCATCCTTATAACCAGTGTTCTGTATCTGGTAGTTTGCTTGCTTCCATTTTATTTAGTTTTTTTTTCTGGATATTTCTTCTATTCTTTCATTTGCAACCTGTTTCTTTGTCTCCCCGTTTTGGCTGCTTCCCTGTGTTTGTTTCTGTGCATTGGTTAGAGCTGCTATATCTCCTGGAATTGATAGAGTGGCCTTGTGTAGTAGGTGTCCTGTAGGTCCCAGTGGCTCAGTCTCCCCAGTAACTGGAGCTGGGCATTCTAAGTGCAGCCCTCTGTGGTCTGTGTGCCCTGTCCTATTGTAGTTGAGCTTTGCTTATTGTTGGCATACTGAGCAGGATTGACACCCCCCCCCCCCCCAGGCCAATTGGCTGTGCAGACCAGCTGAAACTATAGCAGAAGAACTGCTGTGCAGGAGACACCTCCATAGAGCAGGACTTGCTTCAGTGGGGCTTTGGTGCTCTCAGAGTCTTCCCCTTGAATATGTCATTTATGGATGTGATAGGGTTGTAATCTGGCGTTGTCTGAAGCTGACCACAGGATGCACTGGCTCTGGGGCCTCACAGGAGGTGCAAAGTCAGCCACTGCCTGTATCTTGCCTGGGGCCACAAGCTATAGAGAGACCTGCAGATGGTTGCTACTTGTATTGGGCTTGGAGATGTCCAGGAGAGGCCAAGTTGTGAAACAAGGCAGGCTTCTGCTAGTTCCAGGCCTGGGGCCTCTTATTGAGAGGTATGGGGCACACTGAGACCAGCTGCTGCTTGTTTCAAAGATTTTAGAAAAGTCTGAAGCCTGAGCTAGGACAGGTTATTCATATAGAAAGACCACTGCCAACAACTTGGGTGGGGCTGCAAATTGGGTAGAATAGGGTGTCAGGGAGTCACCAGGGCCAGGCAAACAGTGTGAGCCAGGTTAATGGAAACTCAGATATGGCACCTGCCAGTTGGCTTTCTGGCTTGAGGGAAGTCCAAACACTTTCATCTGGGAAAATCTGCCTCTGAGTTCTTGCTCTGATGCCACACAATTTAGTTCCTCCTGTATGCTCCTGGATCCTTTCAAGCTGCACTGGAGCTCAAAGGGAATTAGTCCAAATAAGTCTGTGCATGGGCCCTTTAAGAGGAACTGCCTGGGACTCCCACATACTCCATATCACTCAGTCACAATCCCACTAGTTTTTACAGCCTCAAGTTATGGGGACTTCTCTTCCCTGCACTGGAACTCTGAGCTGAGGTGTTTGATGTGGAGCTGGGACCCCTTGTTCCTCATGTAGACCTCCATAGCCAAGATACTTCTCCGGATTAAAAACAGGTCAATTATGGGTCTTGGATCAGCCCATTCCACATCTCCACCCTTCCTATCAGTCTCAATATGGCTGCTGCTTCTTTTATTTAAATATATTTTATTGATTTTTTTACAGAGAGGAAGGGAGAGGGATAGAGAGTTAGAAACATCGATGAGAGAGAAACATCGACCAGCTGCCTCCTGCACACCTCCTACTGGGGATGTGCCTGCAACCAAGGTAGATGCCCTTGACCGGTATCGAACCTGGGACCTTTCAGTCCACAGGCTGACGCTTTATCCTCTGAGCCAAACTGGCCAGGGTGGCCTCTTCTTTAATTCTCTAGTTGTAGGACTTCCATTCAGCCAGATTTCAGGCAGTTCTGAATGATGGATGTTCTTTTGTTTAGTTATAATTTTAATATAGCTGTGGGAGGATGAGAGTGCTACATTTACCTACGCCTCCATCTTGACCGGAAGCCTTAGTATCTCAAACTCTCTTTAGGTCTTCTGGTTAATCACCAGAACTAAGATCTTTCTCACCCAGGCCCCACCCATCCTGCTCACTCCCCATGGAACAGCCAATCAGAGGCACAACTGAACTATGGCTATAGAATTTCCCCATGTCAGTTGCCCTTCCTCAGGGATGCTTTTTAGGACAGGGTTCCAAGAGAAATCTGTGCAAGCCCACCTCACCCCCACCCATACGCAGCCAGGCATCATCAGCCCTGGAAAGCAGGGAGCTCTCAGCATTATTCCTGCCCCCTGCTCTCCCAGAGCCATCATTAGCACAGCACTAGGACAGCAGTCCTTCTAAATCCTCCATCAGCTCCGAGTTCCCCAGGCAGAGTCTAAGTGCAGCCCACCTTCCCCCCTCTAAGCCTGCGCTGCATCTTCATACGCGGCACTGCCCCAGATGTGGCCCAGCATGTCGCCTCCACACCTCCATCCATGCTCTTCTCCCCCAGACTGCCACATGCCTCCCCTCGCCCACACATCCTACCTGTTTATCCAGGCCCAACTCAGATGTCACCTCTTCCCTGAATCTGTCCTCCCACAGTCCTTATCTGCCACATGCCACATCCCAAGATCTTTTTTCACCTCTTTCCTCTCCTGACCCTTAACAGTGGGGTTTTCTCTGCTCATTTTCCCCGAGTGGTCTCATCCGCTCCCGTGGCTCTGCTACCACCTCAAGTCCCACTCTAAAACCCATCGTCCAGGTCAGCTCTCCCTTCCACTCACCCTGAGACAGCTCCCCTATATACCTCATATACCTCACATTCTACACATCCAGAACCAGGCTGTAATCTCCCTGTCTTTGCCCTCCTCTGGTCCCGAGGACCATGGCTCTGCATGGGTGCCTGCTGTGTGTTGTGATGCATATAAGATGCCCTCTTGTTTGTCCTGGTGCACTTCGGAATGGCACGTCCTCACTGACATGTACCCTTTCAGGTACACGCCTACATCATCAGCCACCTGAAAAAGGAGATGCCGAGTGTTTTTGGAAAGGAAAACAAGAAAAGAGAGCTTATCGACAGGTTGCCAGAAATCTACATTCAGCTGCAGCGAGAATACCAGATTTCTGCAGGGGACTTCCCGGAGGTCAAGGCAATGCAGGTACTGGGCGCCCGTTACAGCGTCATGGGGCCGGGGGGGGGGGGGGGGCCGAGGCCCTGCCATCTTGTCCGGCTGGTCACAGGATACACATGGTTCATGGTTTAGGATGGAGAAGAATGCAATGAATTCACCTTCCTTGTGGTGATCCATGATAACAGGCTGCTGTGAATAAGTCAGGAGTTGCCTGCCTCCTGAAACATTTAAACAAAAGGGGACACAGTCCAGGAAGTTAAGTTCACATGAAAAAATTATCTGAGCCACCGTCTCAGGCTCTGTTCAATGTTGTTTTGACATTGAGATGACACCTGTTTTTTGGAATCCCAGGACTGTAAGGGAATCAGAGCTGGGAATGACCTTGGAGGTCACCCAGGCTGCCCCTCCAGCCAGCGCTGTCCGGCACTGCCCTGCGCTGTGGGATTACGTGTTCAGGCAGTGTCATTGCTGCAGGCTCAGGAGGCATCAGAGGCGTGGGGCTCTGTGGACATGCTGGACATCTCTGGACACAGCGAGACATGCTCACCGAGGATTTTGTTAAATGTTTGTGTTGGGCAGCCTTTGGCCAGATTTCAGGGTCTCCCTGAGTTGTATGTGGGCAGCCCCAGATGAGCCCAACTGGATGCTGCATTCAGCCATCTTGGCCCAACCAGTGTTCCCACGGTGCACAGTGGTGTTAGGTGAACATATCAATGCTGACCACATCCTTCCAAGCCAGGCAGACAGGCCCTTGCACTGGACAGGAAGATGGTCCTCATTGAGCCAGGCTGCCCATCTTCCGGTCCAGTGAGGGACCTGGCCACCCTGGAGGCCACAGTCCTTTGGAAGGCAAGCAGTACAAGTTGAGATGGCTGCAGCCGCTAGCCAGTAACGTGAGCAGGCGAGGCAGGCCAGGCAAAAGGAAACCATGTCACCCTCTCTGACTACCTCTTATTTTTTCACATTTGATGGAGGTGTAGGTTCCTCGAAGTGTGTCTCTACAAGGAAGAAATCAAATCTACAAGTGAGATGAGGACTTGTGGGGGCCCACAGTGCGGGAGATGGGAGATTCGAACCCCACGCCAGCAGGAAGGCCCTGTCCCGCCCAGTGGTCGCTGCCCTGGGGGAACACTGGAAGCTGGAAATCTATAAAGTCCCCTGGCTTTCCAATTTCGGCTCAGACTTTCAAAGAATACTGCATAGGCCAGACAGAGGATACCTTCCTGCTGGCTGCGCCCCGAGGCACAGAGAAAGAACGCCGAGTGGGGGTGCAGTATACAGTGCACATGGGAGAGGGGTAGGTTACACTCCCTGTTGCCATGGCAGGGCTCAGGGGAGAGTATCTGCAATACAAGATCTGGTCAGATGGGACTTAGGTGACTTCAGAATCAATACAGAAATATCTGTGTTCTTCCATAAATGAAATAATTATTCCTGTACTCAGAAGACGAATTGCTTTTTTTCTGGTCACAAGATGGCTAATTTTAGGGGCCTCTTGGAGCAACTTCCTGAGCAGATTCCACTTGCACACCCTTGGTTTATGCGCTGCACCCCATGACCAGCTGAAGGACAACTGATTCTTGGCATCCTTCAGAAATTTTTGAAGGGAAATTGGCTTCTTGACTGCACTGAAAACTGTGCACACTATAGCCCATTGGGGCTTCTGCGGCTCATTAGCCTAGTGAGGCTGCCACAATGCCCACTCACAAGAAGATGCTGCTCCCCAGATCTCAGGCACCACTGAGCCACGGGGGGCTGCTGCAGGCCCCCCTACCCAGGCCTACCACCCATCCCCCAGTGACCTCCCTTAACATAGGGAGCAAACTGTGACTACTTTAGCCTGAGCCTGCCAAGTCAGAGCTGGGGCAGAAGAGCAGTCCCTGGGGAAGAAACAAGGAAGCCATATGCCCCCTCACCTCAGGTCTCTGGAGCAGACACAGCCCAGTTAGATGGACAGTTTAGGAAGGGTCCAAACTTTCTCTGAGGACCCTGGGGGTCAGGCCCCATACAGGTGCCTTAGCACCTTCAATGGACACCTGAGGGCCCTAGGACTGGGATCAAGGAGTCCCACCTTACAGGTGCCCCATTCACCTGTGTTCATTCATCCATTCACTCAAGGAATATTAAGCCTACTGTGACCAGGCACTTTTCTAGGCCCCAGAATAAATCAACAAACAAAAATGAACAAATGGCAAACATCTCTGTCCCTATGGGGTATACGTTATGGATTATGGTATCTACCACTGTGACTATGGTTGGCAGTGAAACTTTTGGCAGCAGAGCTTATTATTGGGACATATGCTCCTTGTTACAAGTGATGTTGTGTTCATTGGCTACAACTCCATGAGGCCAGTGACCCATGTCCTGTTCACCGCCATATCGCCAGCACCTGGCATGTAGCAGGTGCTCAATGAATATGTGTTGAGTGAGTTCATCGTTAAGTTAGTGTATGCTTATGTCCAAGCCTATAGAAAATTATATAAGCATTTATTTCAGGGGAAAAAACTGAAGGCCAGCCAGAAGCAAAATCTCAAAGGACTGAGCAAATGCTTCAAAAATGGCAGTTTTGCAGTTCTTTTTATACATTTAGAAATAAAGGAGAAAATGTACAATCCATTGCTGGTAAGTTAGGGAGGTAGCAGAAGGCAAAGCAGGGAAATCTCTAGGATTGGATAAAAAGTAAAATAGATACATACTTCTTTTACAGTGGTAGGTACAGGATGCTTATCATTTCACATTTACAGTAAATAGAGATGGTCCAAGGCAACAAGAGAACAATAAGGCATTTCCTGGTGCAGATGGTTATGCCTCCTCCAAGGGGTCTGAAAAGACAGTTATTGACATTCTTAAGGGCATGTTATCCCAGATGCACAAAACAATAAACGGGGCTCACTTAAGGCCCAAATTAACCTTTTATAAGGAATCGATAGGCACAGAGGGTGCCTATGCACTGTGACATGCCCAGCTGGGAATTGGTGAGCAAACATCCTGTGTGGTCCCTCTGGTCACTGTGCTTGGCAGGGTTGCTACATCGCCTCTGTTTTCCTCACATGTAAATCACAGCAGGCTCTCGGCTGGTGACTTTCTCAGACCCTGGCCCAGCCCTGACTGATTCTCACAGGGCTTACAGACCCGCAGTTCCCAGAGCAGCCCCCTGGGAGCGGGAACAGGCTTCCTCCTTGGGAAGCTAGCTGGGCCCTGATCACACCACCCCAGTCCCTTCAGGGACTCCCCAGGAAACAAGGCAGGCCCGGAGCCTGTAAGGTGTGCTTCAGGCTAGATTTCTGTCACCCAGGAAGCTTGGGGGGGCAGGGGGGGGCAGGGTTCACAGTGTGGGCCAGGGCCTCTGTCATCCCTGAGTCTCGAGGTCTGACATCCTCTACAGCTCAGGCACTCGACCTCACCTTAACCTCATCCAGGACAGGACTTAAGCTTGGCAATGACTTTATTAAGATCTTTGCACATCTCAGGGTCACTCAGAGCTCCCGATGCCAGCTCTGAGTCTCTGTTCTCCCTGTGCTCTCATAAACCAAGCTGGTCTGGTTAACTCTTAGCCATAAGGAGTCAAGTGCATTTTGAAGGCTTTTGCCTGCTGCTGGGAGGTAACTGTGACCTGCTGGTGAGCTGCCTGTGTCCACCCTTCCCTTTGGGAAGGAACCTGATTTACCACACTGATGTGTCCATACTGCCAAACAAGGAGAACACTGGCGAGACCACCTTCACTGCTGCCTCAGTGGTCCTCTGAGAATTGGGCCCCACAGCTGAGGAGTTGGCAGCATTTCAACAGCAGAGGGCAGCAGAGCCATCCCCATCTGCTCAGATCTCTGGATTCGAAAACGGCTTCTGGTGAAGGTTGGGAGTGAGGGGGCCAGGGACTGCGAATGGAACGGGGCTGGGCACTGACCATTGTGTCTGGGAGGGGCTCTCCTGGGCTTGGTGGCTTTGACAGGTGTGATTGTTGATGAGTTGATCTTTAAATTCCCCGGGGTGCATTCATCCCATTAAAAAGACCTCTGTTCTGGAGCCACCCTAGGGCAGGGAAGGCAGTGGTTTAATCTCTACCCCACACTCCCTGGTCAGGCCTGGGGGCGGGCCATGTGCGGTTTGTTTCCTGTGTGCCCGCTGCTGCTGCTGCTGCTGCTGCTGCTGCTGCTGCTGCTTCCTGCCCACCCCCACAGTATGGCCATTTCCCCTTGCCAGCTTTCCAGAGGTTTGCAGTCTGGATGCACGGCCCCTGCAGGAGGGTGGAAAGTTTGGGCGGACACCACCCTCCTTTGTCTGGTTGGCCAGGCACAGGGCTCTGTGTGTGCTCAGGGCTCAGGCTCATTCATGAGGAAAGAGGGTAGGTGTCTGTGCACCCGGGGAATCCAGGCTTGTTTGCCGCTGCAGCACTGGGATTTTTGTGTAGGCTGCCTTCTCTCCTCCTGAGCTTGTCTCAGTGCCCTTGGCTGACTGAGATGTTGGCAGCATCATTTGGTGCTGATGTTGGGGTGCCATACAGTTGTCCACAGACTGTCAGGGAGGATAATGTCAGCCCAACCCAATGAGACCTACAACTGCAGAGTTGCTAAGAGTGTTGGAGGTGCCTCTCTAGAGATAATGTCAGACTCTAGCTTTCCATTCTGTCCCCTCCACCGTCTAAAGCTAAGGACTCTGCTTCAAAATGAACCACTTAGAATGTCTGCCCTGCCAGTATTCCCCAGAGCAGCGGTCTCAACCTTTGGGACCTCATGGACCACCAGTGGTCCGCGGACCACCGGTTGGCAACCACTGCCCTAGAGACCACAGTTTTGCTTCTCCATTGGAAACAGCCTAAACATCCAACTACATGGGACAAGGTGAATGACAGTGGCTCAGCTAAAAACTCAGTATTCTGTAGCTATTAAGGTTAAGGTTATAGGTCAGGCTGAGTCCGGGGTTCAGCCAGCCTGGCTGAGTATGGAAGCACTGCCCAGGACAAAGCAATTCTGCAGAGGCAGGAGGCGGATTCTTTTGTTGGTTGTTTGGTGGGTTGGTTGGTCTTGGAGTTTTGCTTTTATTTTTTGTTTTAGCTTCTGACATTTAAGGAAATGTCTGTCAAAACACTAGCTGAACACAGACTAAGAAACGGATTTCAGTGAATGCAGTCTGTGCAAAAAATAGTTTGGGAAAATTACAAAAAAAGTTTGTATAAAATTAATATCATGGAACAATATAATACATTATTTCTTTAAAATACAGGTTATTTAACAGTGTGGTCTTATTTCAGTTAAAGAGTGTGTGTGTGCATGTGCGTGTGTGTTTATAAAAATGGCTGGAAATGCATGTCCCAAAATATTAGCAGGTTATTGCTGGGTGATGGGATCATAAGTGATTTAAATTTTTTATTTTTGTTTTCCAGCCCCCCCCCACCCCCCATAATCCTATATAATAAAGAGCTAATATGCAAATAGTCATCATGACCTCATGCCACCATAAGGGCTCAAACACTCAACACTGGGGAGAGAGGAATGGGGACCAGCCAGGCCCAAATGAGCTTGTGAGAGAGAAATGGGGACCAGCCAGGCCCAAATGAGCTCGCAAGAGAGGAATGGGGACCAGCCAGGCACAAATGAGCTCGCAAGAGAGGAATGGGGACCAGCCAGGCACAAATGAGCTCGCAAGAGAGGAATGGGGACCAGCCAGGCTGCAGCCCAGGAGAGGGACAAGCTGCCCACCCCATGGTCCCGGGCGCCTGCAGCCTGGGCGAAGCCACCCGCCCATGGTCCCCTGCAGCTACAGCTGGCCCAGGTGAAGCTGACCCAGGTCCTGGGTGCCTGCAGCTGGCCAGAGGGAGGGAAGCCTGGGTCCCAGGTGTGAGGCGAGGCAGAGGTGGTTAAGGGTGATCAGGCCAGCAGGGGAGCAGTTAGGGGTGATCAGGCAGGTAGGGGAGCAATTAGCAGCAATCAGGCAGGCAGGCAGAGGTTGTTAGGGGTGATCAGGCAGGCAGAGGGGTTAGGGCAGGGGTGGGCAAACTTTTTGACTCAAGGGCCACAATGGGTTCTTAAACTGGACCGGAGGGCCGGAACAAAAGCATGGATGGAGTGTTTGTGTAAACTAATATAAATTCAAAGTAAACATCATTACATAAAAGGGTATGGTCTTTTTTTTGTTTAGTTTTATTCATTTTAAACAGGCCGGATCCGGCCCGCGGGCCATAGTTTGCCCACGGCTGGGTTAGGGGCAATCAGGCAGGCAGGCAGGCGAGTGGTTAGGAGCCAGTGGTCCCAGATTGCGAGAGGCAGTTGGACATCCCCCAAGGGGTCCTGGATTGGAGAGGGTGCAGGCCGGGCTGAGGGACCCCCTACCCCCATGCACGAATTTCATGCACTGGGCCTCTAGTACTTACAATAAATGTATGATATTTGTGATAGCTCAAAGTTTTATATTTTCTAATGGCCTACTGCTTTACTTCTGCCACAGTCAGGTGTGAAGGTATGTGAAACCTCTTTTCCTTGAGTCTCCCTGCCTCATCTCCCAGACATGGCGCACTGGCCCTCTAGAGTCATCCCAACAGAACTGCTTCACAGAGAGACCATATAAAAACTGCCATCCTGGAATTTCCTGCATTTACTTGACAAAACTGCTGTTGAAGACATTTTTCACTGGATCTTTGAGGCCCCTCATACAAGGCCCTGGGTAACCACCTCACCATTCAGGACAAGAGAAAGCTTGTAATGAACAGGTGGCTTCTCCCTTGGACAATGAGGGGATGTGATCCTCCCCCCATCCCCCGCCCCGACTCAGTGGGGGGCAGCTGAGGGGCAGTCGCTTTTCTCTCCTTAGTTGTCTGATGTGTTCATTCCCAACCTCTCCCTCTTAATTACTTGGCTTTTCCCTTTTTTATGACTTCTATTTTGTGATAACATTTTCACTATAAGCTAGGTCCACCCTTTTTGCAATTAGACAGGAACAGAGATACTTAAATGTCCTTCCTCTATTACAACACAGGCCCCTGAAGGTATGGACTGGCTTTTCCTATTTATATCCCAGGCCCTAAAATGGCCTGACACATAACAAATGGCCAATAAATGTTGGATGGATGGATGGATGGATGGACAGACAGATGGATGCATGGATGGATGGATGGATGGATGGATGGATGGATGAGTAACCAAAGAGAGCCAAGGTAGGAGGAGTGCTTCTGCACAGCCATCCGGGCACCATGGTTGGTTCCTGTCCGTCAGGCAATTATCATGGTTTCCCTGGAGCCTGTGCTCCTGCCTCTCCGACTGCTGACGGCCAGTTCTCCCGGGAGGAGCTGAGACCTGCCTGACTTGATGAGCATATTGGCTGGATTTTATACTCACCCATCCTACTCTGTTCCCTCTTACCAGTTTCCACTTTTACTTATTTGTACCCTAAACTACATTTTTAAAAGCTGATCCAAAAATAGTGTCCTTAACTAAGTCCCTCTCCACAGCGTCATGTCACAGCACAAGGAGCACTAGTCAAGGCAGGAGGCACGGGCTCTTGTCTTGACTCCGCCAGGACGCCCCGTGTGCTCTCTGTAACACACGGCTGTTAATGCTGTCCTTGCTTGCTCCCAGCATTGTTGTGAAGGTCATCCGAGGTCTGTGGTAAGAGATGAAATGCTCAGTCTCTGAGGGCTCAAAAGGCAGGGTGCGGGAAGGTCGTCAGCCCTGAGGGAGCGCTGTCAGTCACACCGCAGCCAGCAGGGGATGAGCTCCTGTAGCGAAGCGTGGCATCCCATGCATCTTATCTCTTGTTCTAAAAGCCACTCCTGTGTCTGGTGAGTTTGGATGTGGGGACCCGACCAGAGAGCCCCGGAACAGGCCCGGGTACGGAGTGTGTGCTTTAAGGGAGAACTCCCCTCCCTCAGCTCCCCTCTCCTCTTTGCTTCCAGAGGAGAGGGCATGTCACCAAGTCTGTGGTTTCTCCTTTTGCAGGAACAGCTTGAGAGCTACGACTTCACCAAATTCCACTCGCTGAAGCCCAAGCTGATCGAGGCCGTGGACAACATGCTGACCAGTAAGATCTCATCCCTGATGAGCCTCATCAGCCAGGAGGAGCTGAACACGCCCATGCAGCTCGTGCAGGGCGGCGCCTTCGATGGCACCTCCGAGGGCCCCTTCAACCAGGGCTACGGGGAGGGCGCCAAGGAGGGTGCCGACGAGGAGGAGTGGGTGGTGGCCAAAGACAAGCCCGTCTACGATGAGCTCTTCTATGCCCTGTCGCCCATCAATGGCAAGATATCAGGGGTCAACGCCAAGAAGGAGATGGTGACCTCCAAGCTGCCCAACAGTGTCCTGGGCAAGATCTGGAAGCTGGCCGACTGTGACTGTGACGGCATGCTGGACGAGGAGGAGTTCGCGCTGGCCAAGCACCTCATCAAGATCAAGCTGGACGGCTACGAGCTGCCCAACAGCCTGCCTCCCCACCTGGTGCCCCCTTCTCACAGGAAGTCCTTTCAGAAGGCCGACTGAGGGGCGGGCCACGCACAAGGCAGGCAGTGCGGAGTGGGGCTCCTGGGACTGGGGCCTGAGGTCCTTGCTGCCACTGACTCACTGAGTGACCCCGAGAAAGGCACTGCCCTCTCTGCCTCAGTTTCCCCATCTGTAGAATGGGAGGGCAGACATTGGACACTAGATGAGGTCCTTTCACCTCTAAAATTCCCTGAGTTTTTATTAAAATACTGGGGGGAGGTGGGTAAGGAGATTGTAATGGTGGAAAAGAAATGGAAATTGACCAAAGAGTACTCAGAATCCTGGAGAGACGTAAGTGTGGGGGTGGGCTTGCTGGAGCCCCAGGAGATTGTGGTGTGAGCTGGGGCTTCCCTGGACCACTCATCATCATAAACCTGTTTGCCCTGTGGGAGCAAAGATGATCTTGTTTGTTTCCTTATATATTTAGGGGGGAGGGGGGAATAGGGCAGAGAGGGTTTCTGTTCTCTCTAAACTGTCTACCAAAGAGAAGGCGACTGGTGCCCACAGTTTGAAAGCAGGGTGTAGTGCCTGCCTATGCCCCATGCCTTCTGCAGCCCCGAGCAGAACAGGCAGCTGGCCGCAAACAGGGTCTGTCCCAGCATCACACTCACTGGCCCTCCCAGCACCCGCCCCGGGCCTTCCCCGCCAAGTTGTATTTGGTTAGGAACTTGGAATTACTTAGGAATTGATTAATAATTCGTTTTATTAGCCCCAGCAAGATTTCAAGTCATGTTGGAGTCTGAAGATTAGCTTTTCTTACTGGTCTGTCCAATAATTTGTAGCGAAGTCTATTTATCGTACTCACACTACAGTGAGGAAAAGAGGTGGTTCTCCCCAGTTGTCACTTAGCCTTGTTACAGGCCCCCAGGGCTCCTTGGTCAACGGCAGGATTTAAATTCAGCAAATCGTGTCTCAGTGAGCAGAGTCCGGGCCTGCGGACACGGGGATGAGAAGCCAGCCTGCACGGCTGTCAGGGATAAGAGATCGGTCTACTAGCCTTAGATACTATTTTCATTTTCATTTTTTAAAGGCATTTTTATTATGTCTAGGTTTTTGGTTTTTTCCTTATAGGATAAAAGCCTTTATACAGAAACAGGATGGAACCTTTCCTATAAAAACTTTTCTTCAAAGAGCTGTGTGGCTTGTATCATGAATGCCCATCGCGAGGCAGGATTTGGGCAGGCCCGTATCTAGCGGCTCCCTGAGGGTCTCTCCCAGGTCCCCCATGTCAGCCCCTCTGGACCGAGCACTTGGGCCCTGTGTCGGGTGGAGGTGTTAATGCTCGCCTCCACCCTCCCTGCCATGTGGGCGCTGGCTCGGCCCAGTGCCTTTCACCATGACTTAGGCAGAAAAGGGGACAGACGCAAAATAATGACGGCGTGGCCGCATGGCTGGGGCCCTGCCAGCACCAGACATGCGTGAAATCAGAGCGGCCCCACCCGAGCCTCCCAAAAGCCACATTGTGGTTTTTTCTGATGTTACCTGTGACATCAGGGTCAGAACTGCAGGCTTAAGAGAAATGTTTTACTTTAGAGAAGCATGCGTCCAGATGCCAGCCCGCACACTCCCTAGCTTGCTGTCTCAATAATTTTGTTTTAAGAGAAATAAATGCATAGCATGGTTTTTATTCTTACTGAGCACTTTAAAATTAATTAGACGCAGAAAAGGGACGGTTACAATTCCTGCTGTATTATGAGCAGAGTTCTGTGAATGCATGGGGACTGCCCACCTGTGTAGCACAGTGGCGTCCACTGAAGGGCAGCACCGAGAGAGGGAGAGAGAGAGTTCAATCGTCCACAGGTTCAGAGATGCCAGGGTTAGCCAATTTTCCATCCAGAATTATCTTGCTGCTTTAACTCTACTGAATTGTCACATATAAAGATAAATATATACACATATATGTCACATAAATATGTATTTTTGAACTTGTCAATGTGTACATATGTAGATATAGCCAAAGGTTGTGTATGTAGAGACATGTAAGAAAAGTGTTTTAGGGAGCCAATGGACTGAGGTTTCTGGTTTCTGTGTGGACAGAAACGGATGGTATTGTGACCTCTACCCCATGCCCTCAGGGGGAGAGCATCGGACAGCTGAATCCTTTCCCTGCTCAGGAAAAAAAGGGGGGAAATCGTGTGACCCTTTTTTCTTAATATCTTCTCTTCCCACATGAAGTCATTGGAATTGACTGGAAAGAAAAACACTGGGAAACATTAGGGATGGCCCCCAAGTGAGAAACCGTATCTTCCCAGGACTGGCACAAAGTTCCTTTAATTGTGTCCGAAACATTCATTATCCCTACCCCCAACCCCACGCAGCAGGGCAGGGGGACAGGAGGGCCTGTCCACCTCGACGGACCTTCTTGCCGTCCCACGCCACCCCAGTTCTCAAAGTTCCCCTCCCCAGAGTGTTTACAGGTGGTTGGGAGGGTGGCAGTAGGTGAACTCTAGCTCTAGGAACTATCTTCGCGCTCCCCATGGTTCCACAAGAGAAAATCTGGTTGTACACAGCACGTGATACCACATAACAGACCTCTGCAGTCTGGCGTTTGGGGGGAATGAAGACTTTAGCCTCTTCTTCCCAGTTGTGAGCCTGCTATGAGGCCCTCCTGCACCATCTGTAACGGACCGCACTGAGACCTGCCCCGGCTCCCCAGCTCTGTCGCACATGCAGGCGGCCACCTGCCTCAGCCTCCGGCTCCAGCCCAGCATCTCCCCTTCCTCCCCGAGCACCTGGACGGCCCACGGCGGGTCCCTCCTCAGTGGGGAGGGCCATTCAGTGAGTTGGCGTTTGCTTCCCCAGGGCTAGACTGGGCTGTTTGGAACACAGTCATTGTGCAGCAGTAGTGTCTTCGGACTTGGGCTTTGGTTGCTCCCACAAATGGCCTTGAAGAGCTGAATTCTGATCCTATTACCAGAGGACTGAGTGTCAGAGGGCATGGGCAGCAAATGCCTCCTGCTCTCTCCTCAGCCGCTGCCCTCCTTACCAGCTCACAGGAGACGCCCTGGCAGAGCCTGGCCCCCCTGCCCCAGCCACAGTCCCTCCCAGTGTCTGCGGGTCCTCAGGAGCCCCTCTCCACCCCCCGGGGAATGTCTTGTACTGGAGTCCACCGCCCGGCGTCCTGCCGGACACCCAACACCTGGATAAGTCGCCTTGAGGATAAGGAGGGCATTTAACAAGAACATTCTTGGGACAGATAAGCACTGAGTTTATTCAGGTAAACGGGCCTGATTTAAGAGTGTGTCAGGTTACCTGTCAATTAGCCAATGCAGTTAATACACAATGCTTCTGTTTGTTTTGTAACCTTGTTTAGAAGTCAAACAAAAGACACCGTCTACTGATCAATAAACTTCTGAAAAAATCACCACCTTTCCTCCGCTGGCTCTGGTTGTCCAGGGGCTGCCCGAAGCCGTCTGCAGGTCTGCGGTAAAGCGGGGATCCCTGCCATCTGTTCTGAAACCAGGCGGGGTGAGGGGGCGGGTGCCCCCTGTGACTCCCGACCTCCTGTGCCCTCTAGGGGGGGGCTCCCCCAGTGGGGCTTTAAAGGGAAAGCTCAGCCACGGGGCTGAGGCCAGGTCTGGGCGCAGCCCCCAGGGACGCTGACCTCCAACTGAGACTGGAAGCCAAGACCAGAGGGGACCTGGGAGGCGGGCCCTTCCGAGGACGGATGGGCATCACTGAGCACCTCGAAGGAGCAGTCCTGCCGCGAGGTCCTCTCCCCGCACACAGGACGGGGCAGTGGTACCAGGTGGAGCCCTGGCTGCTAGGACTGCTCGCAGGTGTGGACCCCAGAGCAGACACCTGGGTCTCCCCACCGGCACCCACCTACCTTCTGGGGATCTAGACCTAGAATCTCCTTTGCAGAGCACGTCCCACTCCCCCACCCTCAGTCTGAGCCGTCAGGGTTGGGTGAGATATTTCCGGGGTGGGTCCTGGGCCGAAGTATTTCATCCCCCTGCTTACAGAGGTTGGTTCAGGACTGGATGTGTTTCAGTGAAGCCTGTGAGAGCCAGACCCCTCAGACTTCTGTTTCAGTTCTTAGGAGAAATGCTCTTTTCTCTGAATCCTGCCATGTAAAAAAGCAAGCCTGTTAGTGCAGCAGCATAAATGGCCTTGAAATGGTGCACAGAGCTGCTGGGGTAGGGGAGTGAGGGTGGGCAGAGAGGACACAGGCTTGTGGGGGCATCCTTTGAGCTGCTGGATCGAACCTCACCTAAAGTCCTCCTCCCTCACGCTTCCCTTATGTGGGCCCATACATTCCCTTCACATTGTTTAAACCCATTTGACTTGAGATTCCACTTACTTTCGAGGTAAGTGATCCAAAACCACCAGGGACTCTCATTTCCGCAGGGGCGCAGTCAGTCGCTGCCAAAGAGGCCGTCCCCGGGTGCAGGGCTTTTCTGCAGTTGCACTAAGCGGGGAGGAACGCGTTCCCCCAGCCTCACGCGCAGCCTCAGCTACAGCGACCGCTGCTGAGATCTGTGTGCAAGCATCGTGCAGCTCCCCGTGGTCGCATCACACGGGAAGGTCTTACCTGGGCCAAGGTCTTACTAGGAGGGGGAACAAGCTGGGGGGGGGGTGAAAGGGGGTACTTCCTAGAAGGAGCAGGTTTTAACGGGCAGATAGGATAGGGCCGTGGTCGGCAAACTGTGGCTCACGAGCCACATGCGGCTCTTTGGCCCCTTGAGTGTGGCTCTTCCACAAAATACCACATGTGGGCACGCACGTACAGTGTGATTGAAACTTCGTGGCCCATGTGCAGAAGTCAGTATTTTGTGGAAGAGCCACACTCAAGGGGCCAAAGAGCCGCATGTGGGTCGCGAGCCGCAGTTTGCTGACCACTGCATCCGATAGGGGAATGGAGAGTAGAAGGGAATTCTAAGCTGAAGCCCAGATGTGGGCAGGAAAGCTGTTTCTGCCCAGGCAATGGGAGTCTTCCTGGGTGTGAGCAGAGCTGTGCTCTGGGGGGTAAATTGGGGTCGTGAGCAGGTGCCGTGCAGGCAGGACGACAGGCTGGGGGCTGTGATGAGCACCTGCAGGGGCAGGGAGACTGGACAGGACGGGAGGGTGGACCATGGAGCACTGGGGGGGCCGCAGTCGCAGGCCCTGGTGACAGTGGATCTGGGCTGGGAGCGGGACCTCACAGGGAGAGGATCCCGGGAGGAAGCTCCTCTCAGATGTAGGGTAGTTGCCCCATCCCAAGAGCCACAGCCCGGGTTCAGTGTGAGTCGCCCTCCCTGGCTCTCAGGCTCAGGCAGTGGCCGCGCCTCCCCTCGCTGGCCTTGCCTGTCAGGGACACCTCCCTGGGGAGTGTTGTGTCTCCCCCAGTCTCCCAGGGCTGCCAGGTGGGCGACCACAGACACGTCCCCCAGCTCAGAGTTCAGCCAGACCATTCTGTGAGCCGCCTGCAGCAGAACTCACGCTCCCTCGCACGCTGTCCTCGGAGCCCCGCCGGCCAACTCGGGCCCATAGGCGCTGGGGCCCCGTCTTGGAGCCCAAACAGGGAACCATGGCTTTGAAGGAGCCACTGTGGTCTCCATGGCCTTTTCGGATCCAGGTTACCCTTCCCGGGGGGAGTCCCTTTCAGAGAGCAGCCCCGGGGGGGAGGGAGCACTGCCAGTCCGCCCTGGGCCCGGTTGGGTGCCTTTCTGTCTGGGCTGGAAAGCTGAGCCCAGAGTCGGACAATTCCCCAGGAGGGGGAGGGAGGGGCTCCGGCCCAGCATGTCCCCTCCCACCCCTGGCTGTGGGTGCCCCCAGAGAGGCCCTGTGTGTGCCCCAGAGAGGCCCTGTGTGTGCCCCAGAGAGGCCCTGTGGGTGCCCCAGAGGGGCCCTGTGTGTGCCCCAGAGAGGCCCTGTGGGTGCCCCAGAGAGGCCCTGTGTGTGCCCCAGAGGGGCCCTGTGTGTGTCCCCAGAGAGGCCCTGTGGGTGCCCCAGAGAGGCCCTGTGTGTACCCCAGAGAGGCCCTGTGGGTTCCCAGAGAGGCCCTGTGGCTGCAGAAAGGCAGTCCCTGACTGGGAAGCAGGTGCAAAAGCTGCTGACAGAGGTTCTGCCCTAGTTCCTTTCCCCCGACTGCAGCTCCTCCATGGGGCTCCCAACCCCAGTGACTGGAGGACAGCCCATGGGCCTCTGTGTCTTGGGAGCCAGGGCCCCCACCTGGCATTGGGGACATGATGAAGAAGGGATCTGACCAATGGTCTGGACATTCTTGAGCCACCCCCTCCATCCTGGGCCACGCCCCGCGGCAGGTGGGAGGTTAATGTGGGCTGAGGCTGTGCGTTCCCACCGTCCTGCTGGCTCAAGAGGAGGCCATGACGCAGCCTGGCTCCAGCCTCCGCCTCTCCTGACGGCTCACTCCTGCCCCACAGTGTCCTCTGTCTCCCGTCCCCGTCCGTCCAGCCGGTCTCCTCCACAGGCCCAGACATCGCCACGGTGAGCGGTTTATCCCAAGGAACAGCAGCCAATCGCTGTGGCCCAGGGGAGACCTCTGGCACCAGAGCTCAAAGAACAATCTGGGAAGTACGGTGGGCAAAAGGGGGCCCTGGGCCATTCAAGTGCAGGGCCCCAGCCAGGAGCACCCCAACCTTTCCTGGCGAGGCTCCAATGTGGGCAGCCAGCCTGGCAGGGAGGGTCTCCTTACCCCTGGCAGAGGCACCCGTCCCATGGAGGAGCCATCATATCCACACACCTCCCCAGCCTCCATTCGCCCAACATCCCCAGCAGGGAAATGTCTGCCACTGGCCCCTCGACCCAAAGGGCTCCAGGCCTGATGACTCACCAGCCCCACACTCCCCAGCAGCTCCTTGGGGCTCCAGGACACCAGAAGCAGGAGGGCTGCCCAGGGCCCTGAGCCGGCTCTCCCAGCCCAGGTCCACCGTGGACTCTGCGTAGGAGATGGGCCACATTAGGCAGCTGCAGGCACAGCACAAGCGGATGCAGGAGACTCTCACCAACTGGATCAACAACATCTTCCAGTGCGACCGGGTGCCCCGCAGCCCGCCTCTGCCCTTCCTTTCCCCCCTCCCTCCCCTGCTCTCCCGCCAGTGGACCCTGGGGCCTGGCGAGGTCATCTGGCTGAGACTTCTCTGGACCCCACAGCACAACTGAGGCCAATGCTCCCTCCTCGAGGCAGCTGCTCTGGGATGCTTCTCCCAGGTCCTGGGGGGCAGGCAGGTGAGGCTGGGCTGACCCCGTGCCCTCCCCCATCCCCCCCAGGTGGGCCTCAAGGTCCAGAAACTGTACACAGAGCTGACCCATGGCACCCACCTACTGCGGCTGCTGGAGCTCATCTCGGGTGAGGCTCTGCCACCCCCCGCCCCCAGGGCCGAATGTGAGTGTGCTTCCTGGAGAACAGCAGCCGGGCTCTGGCCTTCCTCAGGGCCAAGGTAGGCACCGGGGAGGGGTTTGCTGGGTGGGTGCTGGGTGAGCAGCGGGGACAGGCTGGACTCCTAGACCATCTCTCCTGGGCTGGCCACGGGGCATAGCAGACGCTCTGGAGCCTGAGTCCAGAGGAGTCCTTCCTGGCACAGTGTTTCCGCTGAGAGAGCATCAGGGAACAAAACCAGGATCCCCGCCCAAGCAGAGTGAAGGGGTCAGCCTGTGTGTCTGGGCAGCAGGAACAGTCCTCGGGCTTTGATGTAAATAAAGTGGCCAGGGTGGGCCTCGCAGAGAAAGTGGCATTTGAGCAAAGGAAGGGAGGGAGGTAGCCATAGGGCAATTGGGGAGAATAATATTTTCAGACACCAGGACAGCCAGTGCAAAGGCCCTGCGGCCTGGGCTTACACTCTCAGGGAAGTGCAAGAACCGTCTGGGCCAGGCCATGTGACCCAGGAGAGGGGGACGTGGCCGGCAGGTGAAAGGACCCAGGTCACACATGGCTTTGATGTTTATGTGTCCCTTTCTCCCTGGATTCACTCCTCTTCCCTGTCCAAGTGAAAAGACCTAGGGCAGCAGGTTCCCAGCTTTAATAAGAAGCACTTGAAGCACGGAGAGCTGTGTGTATGCGCCCGAGGCCTGGCTGGCAGAGCCCAGTGACCAGGAGCCGCCTGCTTCCATGCGGCGTAGGGTTGGTGAGCACCATGCCCGGCCCATTAGAAGGGCTGAGGAACGGGAGCTACTGCTCCTGTTGCAACTGAAAGCCGGCTGCTCAGAGGTGAAGCTTTCAGACAACATGAGGGCAGGAACGGGGAACAGCATCTCAGCCCCACACAGCCTGCCTCCCCCGCAGCTACAGGCCCCGCTGCCGCCCCACCTGTCCCTGCCTGGTGACCGCTGCCCTGTCCCTGCAGGAGGAGCTTGGAGCCAGGGCAGCCCTGCTGTCTGCCAAGGAAGCTCTGCTGGTCTGGGGCCCGCGGAAGGCAGCCTGCT